AGGAAAGAGAGAGAGAGACAGAGACAGAGAGAGAGAACATAAAAGAGGGAGCCAATATTGGTTTGAAGATAAAGTTGAACACAAAGAAAGGTCGAGGAACTACAAGACTGCTCCCAACTAACAATCTCAGCTTCCGTGGAAAGGCTATCATAAATGCCCTTCCCGGAGAGTGAGATCAACAACTAACTTCTCCATGGAGTCCTCAACTAATGCCTGTTGAAAACAGGAGCAAACACCCATACATAAACACTGAGTCAAACTAGAACCCAGAAGCAGATGGAGAGGACAAGACCATGCGGTAGAAGTACATAGAGACAGCTTACCTGAACAAGGAGGAGCTAAGGGCCACTAGACTGATAGCTGGGAAGCCAACAGGGGTCTGACTCGGACCCCCCTGAATATGGGTCTCAGCCAGAAGGTCTGAGCAGTCTAAGAGACCTTAGACAGTGGAGCCAGGATGTATCCCTGGTGCACAAAAGGACTTTGCAAACATATCCCCCATGGAGGGATAACTGCCTTATTCTAGAGATAGGAGAGAAGCCCTAGTCCCTACTTCACAGGACCTGTCAGATCTACATGACCCCAACTGGATGGCATTCCCCTACATATTGTATTGTGGTGGGGGGTTGGGAGGGGAGGGTGTTTAGAGTGCATGGGAGAGGGTAGAGAGGGCAAAAGGGAGGGAAGGAGGGAGGGAGGGCTTGGGGGGAGGGAGGGAGGGAGGGAGAGGGAACTGGGATCGACATGTAAAAAAAAAAAAAAAAAAAAAAAAAACGCTTTGACTCCAAAATTTAAGTTGAAGAACAAGTTACTGGGGAAAAGTATTTCTATTTTTGTTTCCACAGAAAATGAAAAGATGTGGATTCCTTCCAGACTAATGTGGTTTGATCACACCAGACCGCCTGAAACAGAGTACAAGCTGATCCTACATTCCAAACAGCTGGACAAAACAGCCCTACAGACTACAGCTAGGATATCTGAATCTTCTTCGAATCCCCCAAGACAGCCCCCTTACCAGCAGGAAGTAGTTTGCAAAGAACGACGCCCAAATTCCCAAATATTGTGTATAAATGTTTGTTTTCATTTAATTGGACTTTGTTATATAAAATTAAATAAAAAATACTCTATATGCATAAAAAAAAAGACTTTTCCTAATAGAGAGACATGTCAGCTCCTGGCAGCATCCCTATTTCCTCCAAAGAAAATGGATGAACAAAGAAGAACCTGCACCCGCAACTTGCTTCAAAAGTAGCAGTGTTATCCACTGAACAAAACTGCCTTTCACCTCAACTGTTACAAAGACCTTCTTCAGACCTTAGAACACTGGGGATTCCACTGCCCCAAGTTGCCTAAGATGAAGATAGGCTGGTCCTCCCATGAGTCCTTACTCTACAGAAGCCTGTGGGACCTTCTGAGGCCTTGCAGGCCTACCTCTATCAGCCAGAAAACAGATGTTTCCCTGAACCTCTGCCCTCAAAGACTATGGAGGACCCTGGGGTGGCTATGTAACCAAGCAAGTAAATCTCTGTCATTTTCAATTGATAAGTCATGTAAAATTTTACCTCTCTCCAGAATCTGATGCTGTTTGATGACTAGTATAGCTTTGCCAGCTTAATAGCAGTAACAAGGCTTTGGCTGTCTTACCAGTTCTCTGTAAAATTCAGGTCACAGGCTTCACTCTCTTAGAGCCAATACTAAGCTAGATGTAGTTCACCTTGGTACCAGACTCAATAAAAGAAGAACACACAAATGACATTTCAGTATAACTCCTTATCATTCCTTTGTTTAAAGAAACTTACTTTATAAAAATATGTGTTTTAAGATGCAAAGCTTAAGATGTGAGGATCTACGAATTTTTCGGGTCTAGGAGAATAACTTAGGTGTGTAAATAGAAGTTATGAAGGTCTGAGGATAAAAGGCAGATAAAGAAAAAGTGATTTGAGACGTTTAAAAAAATGAAGTATGTTCCAAATTTCTTTAACTCATTATGCTGTTATATTAAGACTCCAAAAGTTCATAGTCTTAACAGTAACTGGTGGAGTTCTGATAAGTGATTAATCCAACTATGACAGAGTACTAAATACCATACTATATCACTATATGGCCACAACAGCAGGTTCAAGATTTCAAATTCCCTTTGGTTGTTTTCTAACTCTAGACTTCAAAGGTGCTTTTCATTGTGCTAAAAAAAGATCTGTTACAGTTTTTCTTTTTTCTTTTTGATAGAAGAAAGAAGGTTAATGATTCAGCTGAAATAATTTCTGGCATGAGTGTGTTGCCGTTTCTACAATGTAAATTTCAGTTCAGATTATAAACAAGGGGAATAATGATTGTCTAAAAGTTATCTTTTCATAAACTCAAAGAATTCTTGTAGGTCCTAGGAAGTCAACTTGGATTAACCTTCAAAAGATCAGGTACACCCCCAATTAATTACCAGGACCTAAACAGCCCAACCTCCCTGCCTTTACCATGTCTTGGCACTCACCTTCCTCAATAACCAGAAACCATGAAATTTTTTCCCCCTAAACTTCACTTTGTCCTCTGCTCTGATAGCATCTTGCCAGGTCCAAGAGACGCCAGCCAGTTCCACATAGCCTGGACAGCAGTGAAACACCCAGCTACCCCAGGACATGGCTAGAATCCCTGCTTCCTCAGGTCCCCCCAAAGATGGTCAATGCTCCCCAGGTCAGCAGGAAGCATTCTTGGGTATTTGACACCTTTATTTCCTTAACCCGCCATGCCTAACTCCTCACCTTTTTAAATAAATAAAGAAGGGAGGATTGTTAGCATCCAGGTACATTTGGCTTCACCACTTTGAGACTTGGCACAGTGAATCACCCCTGTGTACATGGCAAGCAGTACCCCTGATCTGTACACAGGTCCAGAAGGTCCCTTTAAGAAACAAGCTCTGCTCATTACTGTTCTGGTTTTCTCACTGTTCCTCTGAAGAGGCAAGCAGGTCTTGGCCTCTCTCTTCCCATCCCCTTCTGCTTTCCCCACTTACCCTTCCCTTCCCTCACTCTCTTCCCTTCCTGTAACGAGTATGGTTTTTTTGCCCGCCGCCTGGTATTGTCCTGCCACCGCGCCAGCCCCAAATAATACACAGAGACTCTGTATTTGATACAATGCTGTTGGCCCGGTTACTTGTTTCTTATCGGCTAGCTCTGCCTTAATTATTAACCCATTTCTGCTGATCTATGTATTTCTCTTACCGGGGAGCCGGCGGCATACTGCTTTCTTCAGACTCTCCATCTGGACTCCTCCTTCCTACTTCCTATTTCCTCCTTGTCTCCTAGTCCCTACTATCTTCCTTTCCTATTGGCCAACAGTGCTTTATTATTAACCAGTATGAGAAACATATATACATAATGGCATCTCCCATCACCTTCCTCCAATAAAAACTTCCCATGTTAGTTCTGTCTGCATGCCCTTTGCCCCTCACCTACCTTGCTTTGGGCCTACCCACCAAGGTACCCCTCCTGCCTTATTATAACAGCCTTGTTCTAGTGTGAGTCTCTAGAGCATTTCTGTTCTGTTAAAGCCACACCAGTGCTGTGCTCGGTTCCCCAGGAGCAAAGATATTGTCACATCCTTTTTCTGACATGAGCCACTAAGCCATGTGTCTGAGTCACAGATGTGTGTGTGTGCACGCGTGTGCATGTGTGCATGCACACGTGCTACTACTGATCTGTACTCTTCTGAGCCTTAAGAGTGAATAGGAACTTAAGTACTAGGTGACACAGATCCTGAGCTCAGCACTTCACTGCAGCTCTAAAACATCTATGCCCGAACAGGCTACAGTGATGCTGTGGTTTCCTGTGGGACACATACCTGGACCCTTTCCAAATAGCCTTGACCTACACCGAGTCTTCAAAAACTCAATTATGTTGCACATATACTCAATACTGATCCCACTACCAGGAAAGTTTTATAAGAATTTAGTCTTCATCTTTTCTGATATGTACTATCCATGTTCTTTGTTACAAGCAAACACAAACAAACAAAGAGTACCAAATGAAGGACAAAGTCTTTCGAGTTGCAGGTTCCTCCCCAGTTGTACTGAGGCTTTTACTACTAGAAGAATGCTTGAAAGCAGGAAGAGTGTGCTAGGTATATGGGGAACTGTAGTAATCTAGTCAATATGATCATGGCTTTGGCCAGGGAGACTTTGTCTTGTTTACTTATAGTTTTCTCACAAGCTCTCAGAAATCTCCTTACACAGCTTCCTTAATGGACTGTGTTCCAGCAGTTAGTGTTTAATCACATCAACATAGAGAAAACTAGGACAATGTGAAAATTACTTCCTAGGGCCGGTGACACTGTCTACTTATGCCAAAACATTCTGTTATTATGTGTCTTTTCCTGGGAAGAGAGAAAGAAATGTCTATTGAGACCACAGAAGGGGATTATGAGAAGCTAAAGAAGAGATTCTACCCTTCCACCCATGTTTTGTCTAATGAGTCAGTGAGGTTACTAAGGTTTTATTAGAACTTTTTATTGTCCTCTGTCATTCCTTTGAGGCAGATAAGCACTTGAGGATAGCTTAGCATTCTGTGTTTCTGCTTGGTTTGGTTTTTACATACACCCCTCTTCTGACAATGCTCTGGGCAACCTAGGACCTTCAACTGTGTGTATTATGCATGCAAATCCCTACCATCTTAGGACATTACCCAGCCCCAGTTGGATTACTTGTACACCCCACTACATACAATGGATAGGATTCTCTGTCCTAACAACCCACCATGATCTACCCCTTTGTGTCTAGTGTCTATTCAGATATATCTGGGTATGGGATCGATGGGTATGATCACATGGGCAGCCTCACTTCCATATCTCAGCATCCACTGTAAGGACAAGACAACCAGTCCTCTTCAAATCATTCTTGGTTCTTCTGATCCCTGTTCAAGGCATTATGATATTTTATGGGGAGACACAAATGAACACCTATTCACCCCATCTAGGTACCCAAGACAGACCAAAGAGACATCTTTCTAGTGAGTTTATTGCATGAGTGAGTTTATTAGGGTGAAAGTTACTTATAGGAACATTGACCAATCAGAGGCAGCTGAATCACTGAAAAGCCCATCTGTGCAAAGCAATGATCCACCACCCCTGCAGTCATGGAGCCCCTGGCATGACTTACAGTCACCTCAGCTGGTCTGAAATCCCCATTCCCACAGAATGCCTTTTGCCTATATAATCTTGAGGAGTGCTTCATGAACCTGTCATGTTCCTGTACTTTCTAAGACTCGTGATTTTTTGATTTTTATTTACTTCCTGAGTTTTATTTTATTTTATATGTAAAGCGTATCCCTATTCTGGAATGCACATGTTTACGTGTGTGTGTGTGTGTGTGTGTGTGTGTGTGTGTGTGTGTGTGTGTACATACCGCTTCTGTTGGGTCTCCTCCTCAGTTAATTTCTATGTTTTCCACCAAACCAGATTCTCTCACTGGATCCAGAGCTTGCAGATCTTAAGCCTAGGTAACCAGCTTGCTCCATGGTTCCACTGTTTCTGCTTCTCAATGTCAAGAGCAGATGACTGTGACACCCACTCAACATTTATGTGGCTTCTGGAAATTGAACTCTGATCCTCCTCATACATGCATGGCAAGTGCATCCAATTTCCCGAGATTTCATTAGAATGTTTTGATTAGGGGGAAATAGTTACAAAACACTTATTAATATCTTTTGTGTATGTGTTTGCACATGTTTGGGAGTTGTATATTAGGCATGTGTTCATTCATGGATGTGTGTATGTGTGTGTGTGTGTGTGTGTGTGTGGTGTGTTCAAGTGTGCAGGTAAGGTGGAAAGAGAGTTGAAGAGGGATTTGTGTTGTTTGACTCTGTCATATTAAGAAGCATGGTACTTATCTTTAGGTTTTCCCATGGTAGAAGTGGATAGACTAGTGTAAAGAAAATATATCGGGGTGGGGGATTTATCTAGTGGTTCCTGGTATTAACCATGTGGTGTTATCATGTTTAGTGGCTGTGGGTGAGGTGAGTTTGAACTACTTTTTTGAATATGTCACTCTAAGGAGAATTTTGGCATCTTCAGTCACTGTGTCAAGGAAGATATGATGAAAGTAAAATGTTTTCCTAAAGTAAAGACCTGTGGCAAGGAGCCCACCATTAGCTGAGGCAAATTTCTCCAAATATTTCAAAAATGTTTCTCCTAATGTTTCTACTTTCTTAGTTTCCAACAAATAAGGAGATTTAATGACTTTTTTCAGTTGTTCAACAGGCACTTGAGAATCCTTTGCCATGAACTCCAGGGATTCATCATCCACTCCAAAGACGAACCGATAGTAGTTTAACTTCACCTTCATCTTCTCCACATCATCCCTGAGGATGCCCACTGCAGGAGCAGTAGCCAGAATTCCATCCTTGATGGCTTCCAACCAGACAGTCTGCTGCATAGACTCGTGCTTTTTATCAATGGCTGCCTCTGTAACGTTAGACATGGAAAGCATAAAACTGTGGCGCTTTTGAGCAGGAAGATCCTTTATCAGGGTGTCCATCAGGACCGGAAAATCATACAAAGATAAATATTGGTTAGAAACCAAGAAAATCTGTGGTGCATCCATGTTATTCTGAATAAAGTTATTCATACAGTAGCTTCTGATCCTCTCCAGGATCTTTTCTCTGTCAAATGTACGTGGTTTGGTCGTTTTTTCATTTTCTAAATCAATGTCTATCTTGGTTCTCACAAAGTAGTAATTCTTTTTCATAAATCTGATTGCTTTGGCAAGTTCTAGTTCATGTTTTGTAAAACGTGTGGCAGAAACAATAATGAAGAAGTCATACTTTTGGAATTTCACTTTGTCCAGGTAATCTTTTGGAGGAAATTTCATAGTTCCAATGCCAGGCAGGTCCCATAAAGTCAAAGTTTTGATTTTGGGGTGATTGTATGCAGTTATCTTCATAGTTGTCTCTATTACCCCAACTTCAGCAGCACCTTTGTCTTCAGATCTAACCCCCCTCAGGGCATTGATGAAGCTGGACTTCCCTGCTCCGGACTCTCCAGTCACAGCAATGTTTATTGGGACATTATCAATATTTTTTAATGCATCACTGATTACGGAGTTTGCTCCCTGAATGTTTCCTTTTTTCAGATGAAATTCTATTAAATGGGTGGTTTCCTGAGAAATGATTGTGTTTTCTGTCTTAATCTTCTTAAAATATGCAGTGAAACTGGACTCCAAATCTCCATGGCCTTCATCCTGAGCTATATCAGAGAATAACTGACCCATGGCTGTGTGGAAAAAGGGCCCTGAAAGAAGGAAGAGAGAGTGAGTTATAGGAGATTGTAGATGCCTTTGTGCTTAGCACTGTGTTCTCTGTGCTGCCGCCTCAGTTATGTTCTGATTTTAACCAGTTCCCATGTATTTATTTGTATTTGTGCTTTTTTTGTTTTGTCTAACAAGATGGAAACTATAGTCTTTCTGGAGGAGAAAACTTATATTTGAGGAACTGCCTCCATTGGATTGGACTGGAGGGGATACTTATGGGGCATTTTCTATATTCGGTATTGATGTTGGAGGTCCCAGCCCACTGTGGATGGGACCCCCTGGGCAGGTGGTCCTGGGTAATTTAAGAAAGCATTAATGAACTATAGTTGTACTTTTTTTGTCAGCTCACCAGTTCCCCAATTATAACATGAAGACTTATTATTAATTAGGAAAGGTCAGCTGATAGCTTAGGCTTATTTCTAACTAACCTTTATACCTTAAATTGATGCATGTCTTCTTATCTACATTCTTTTTAATTTAAATTTTATTTTATTTACTTTTTATTTAATTTTTTTTCCATTTTACATATAAACCCCAGTTCTCCATCCTTCTGCTTTTCCTGCCCTCCATCTTTCTCCTTCCTATCCCCCTTCACTTCTCAGAGGGAATAAGTCCTCCCTTTGGAGAGTCAACAAAACTGGCATACCAAGTTGAGGTGGAACCAAGCCCTCCCTCCCCCCTGTATCAAGGTTGCCCAATGTATCTCACCATAGGGAATGGACTCCAAAAAGCCAGTTCATGCACCTGGGATAGGTCATGGTCCCAATGACAGGACCGTTCCCAGCAGATTAAGCCACATAACTGTCACCCACCTTCAGAGTACCTAGTTCAGTCCCATGCAGAGTCCCCAGCCATAGTCCTTGAGCTCCAACTAGCTTGGGTCAGATGTCTCTGGTTTTTCCCATTATGCTCTGACTCCCCTTGTTCATATGATCACCTCCCTCCCCTCAACTGAACTCCAGGAGCTCAGCCCGGTGATGGACTATAAGTCATTGCGTCTGCTTCCATCAGTTAATGGATGTAGGTTTTGGGATGACAAATGATAGTCACTAAGCTGACTAAAGGGGAAGACAAGTTAAGACACCTTCTCCACTATTGCTAGTATTCTTAGCTGGGGCCATCCTTGTGTATTCCCGGGAATTTCTCTAGCACCAGGCTTCTCACTAACCCCATAATGGCCCCCTCTATCTTTCATTATTCTCCCCCTCTGTCTTTCCCTCAACTCTATCGTCTTGGTCTCACATGTTCCCTTCTACCCCTCCCTTCTACTGCACTCCCAGTTTACCCAGGATATCTTCACTATTTTCTCTTCCTGGGTGCCCACCCCATGTGTGTTCCATTTAGGATTCCCCTTTTTACTTAGTTTCTTTGGGATTGTGAGTTGTAGTCTGGTTATTCTTTGCTTCAGGTATAATATCCACTTTTGAGTGAGTACATACCTTGTTTGTCTTTCTGGATCTGAGTTACCTCACTCAGGATGGTTTCTTCTAGTTCCACCCATTTGCTGGCAAATTTCAAGATGCCATTTTTTTTTAAACCACTGAGTAATATTCCAATTGTGTAAATGTACCACATTTTCTTTATCCTCCGTTGCCACATATTCTCCGTTGATGGGCATTTAGGTTGTTTCCAGGTTCTGGCTATTATAAATAAGGCTGCTATCAACATAGTTGAGCAAACATCATTGTGGTATGATTGTACATCCTTTGGGTGTATGCCCAAGATGTTGGGTCTTGAAGTAGATTGATTCCCCATTTTCTGCTAAACTGCCTTACTGATTTCCAAAGTGGCTGTGTGAGTTTGCACTCCCACCAGCAATGGGGGAATTTTTTCCTTCCTCCACACCTCTCTAACAGTAAGCTGTCATCAGTATTTTTTATTTTAGCCATTCTGATAGGTGTAATATGATATCTCAGAGTTGTTTTGATTTGTATTCCCCTGATGGCTAAGGATATTGAGCAATTTCTTAAATATCTTTCAACCATTTGAGTTTCTTCTGTTGCAAATTCTCTGTTTAGATCTGTATCCCATTTTTAAATTGGATTATTTGGTATTTGGATGTCTAGTTTCTTGAGTTTTTTGTCAAGCTTTTGTCAGATGTGGGGTTGTTGAAGATCTTTTGCCATTCCGTAGGCAGCTGTTTTGTCTTTTTGACCATAACTTTTGCCTTACAGAAGCTTCTCAGATCCAGGAGGTCCCATTGTTATTTATTGTTGTTCTCAGTGTCTGTGCTACTGGTGTTATATTTAGGAAGTAGTCTTCTGTGCCTATGCATTGAAGGCTGCTTCCCACTTTCTCTTCTATCAGGTTCATTGTGGCTGGATTTATGTTGAGGTCCTTGATACACTTGCACTTGAGTTTTGTGCACAGGGATAGATATGGATCTATTTGCATTCTTCTACATGTTGACATCCAGTTATGCCAGCACCATTTGTTGAAGATACAGAAAGTATCTATTGCACAATTTTCGCTTATTTGTCAAAAATAAGGTGTCCATATGTGTCTGGATTAATATCAGGGTCTTCAGTTTGAATCTATTGATCCAATTGTCTGTTTTTATGCCAATACCAAGCCTTTTTTTTTATTACTATAGCTCTATAGTAGAACTTGAAATCAGGGATGGTGATGCCTCCAGAAGTTCCTTTATTGTACCGGGCTGTTTTGGCTATCCTGGGTTTCTTGTTTTTCCATATGAAGTTGAGTATTGTCCTTTCAAGGTCTGTGAAGAATTGTGCTGAGATTTTCATGGATATTGCATTGAATCTGTAGATTACTTTTGGTGGTATTGCAATTTTTACTCTATTGATTCTACTTATTGAAGTGCATAGGAGATCTTTCCATTTTCTGATATCTTTATCAACTTCTTTCTTCAAAGTTCTTGTCATACAGGTCTTTCACTTGTTTGATTAGAGTTACTCCAACATAGTTTATGCCATTTTTGGCTATTGTGAAGGGTGTTGTTTCTTTTATTTCTTTCTCAGTCCATTTATCATCTGTATATAGTAGGGCTATTGATTTTTTTGAGTTAATCTTGTATCCTGCCACATTACTGATGATGTTTATCAGCTGTAGGAGTTCTTTGGTAGATATTTGGGGGCTATTTATGTATACTATCACATCATCTGCAAATAGTGAAAGCTTGACTTCTTCCCTCCAATTTGTGTCCCCTTGATCTCCTTTTGTTGTCTTATTGTTCTGGCTAGAATTTTGGGCATTTTATTGAATAATTATGTTGAGAGTGGACAAATCTTGTCTTGTTTCTGATTTTAGTGTCATCACTCTTAGTCTCTCTTTATTTAGTTTGAAGTTAGCTGTTGGTTTACTGTATATTGCCTTAATTATGTTTAGGTATGTTCTTGTTATCCCTGATCTCTCCAAGACCTTTATCATGAAGGGGTGTTAAATTTGTCAATGGCTTTTTTTTTTTAGCATCTAATGAGATGATTGGAATTTTTTCTTTCAGTTTATTTATATTTTTTTAAGTCTTGGACTGTTTCCTTCAGTTTGTTTTTTTTTCTTAGTTTTCTTCATGGGATTTATTATTTTTTTTTCAATTTTTCTCCATTTCTTTAAGGAAAGTTTTCACTTCCTTTTTAAGGGTCTCTATCATCATCATAAAGCTATTTTTAAGGTCATTTTCTTCTGCTCTAGGATGTTCAGGTCTTGCTGTTTTAGAACCACTAGTTTCTGGTGTTGCCATATTGCTCTTTATGTTGCTGAATGCATCCTTACACTGCCATTTACTCATCTCTTCTTCCAATTGGTGCAGGTGGGGTCTGTGATAGCTTTGGTGCTTGCTCTTCTTCCAGGTGTTGGTAAGGCATGTGGATTCCTTATTTGTTGATGCAGCAGAGGATTTTTGGATGGGGAGCAGGGAGGATGCTACTGACTGGTGATGGGGGCTATCGTAGATGGGTTGGGCATGGGATGTTCCTCTGAAGGCTAGGGCCTAAAGAGCAGGTTTGTCCAGTTGGGGCTCAGACAGTCATCTTTTCCTCTAGGTATAGATGGGATGTGTGGCTCCCTTGGTTGCTGATACAGGTGGGGATGGTTGAGTTGAGGGCAGGGGGGAATGCAGCTGCCCAGTCACATGGGCTGCAGCATATGTGTTGGGACATGTGATATGCCCCTGTGGGCCAAGGCCTAGAGAGAAGGACTGTGCAGTCAGGAGCTCAGACACTCATTTATTCTTCCAGGTGTAGGTGGGGAGTGTCTGTTTAGCTTTTTATTAAACTAATCAGAAGTCAACTTGCAAGCACATATCTTCACAGTGTACAAAAGATTTATTTCACAACATTGAACTATGGGGAGCAAGCCAGTAAACACCATTCTTCCATTATTCCTGCCTCTATTCCTGCAGAGTTTCTGCCCTGATTTCCACAGTGATGTGAGCAGAGTGTGTAAGCCCCCCAAATTGTTTTCTTTTAAAAAGTGCTTTTGGTTACAGTATTTATCAAAACAAGAGAACGAAACTAGAATATGTTTGTACTAGCTCTCAACTAAAACTCTCATTATGGAAAAGTTAAAACTTATGTAAGGGAAAATAATATAAAATATGCATGTGTATTTTAGCCAGCATCAACAACTATAAAAACATAAGCAACTGTGTTGCATCTAACCTAACTGCAGTATTGTATATCAAATCCAAAATATTGTTTGCATCTGTGCATACTTCCTTCAGTGTGTACCTTCAAAATGAAGAGAAACTTAACATAGTTTAGCTGTGGACACTGAGAAATCAATAATAATGAATGATAAATGACATTAATGTTTTATTGATATCAAATCTCTCTATTACTTAAATCTATTTTGTGTGTTTTATAAGATTTCAGTAAGTTCAGCTATTGTGTTTTGTTGAAGTAATTCTTAATTTTCCTAGGTTTACTTTCCTCATGTCCTTTTCATGTCTTGGAACACGTCTCTGTGAAGTATATAAACTTGCAATAATATGAAAGATTCTTACCCTTAAAGGTCATGTTCAAATCAATTTATTCAGTGCAAGATTTGTGTTTTCAAGTAATCATTTAGACCCATATTTCCTTTTAAATATTTTACTTTATGGAAATAATCTATCTGTG